TCAAAAGCAAATGATCTTAACTGATTTTAATAAAAAAGTATGTTTGCAAGTAAAGCAAAATTCTGACTAAAGACAAACCACAAAATATATTCAGCTAAAATATTCAAATATAGTGGAGCAAAACACAAATATTGCAATAGCAATAATGTGAAAAATGCAGGTCACTTAAAAAAGTCAACAATTTCAGATTTGCCTTGGAGGAGAAGGTGGCAAGACAAATGCAAATGATTTCTGAGTTATTTAGTAGGAAAGGGAGTCAAAACAAATTGTCAAAATACTGACATTGACAATCTGTTTTTCATTATTATTAATTCAAAAAGATAAAAAACAGGAATTCTTTAGCCAGTTCAGTGTTTATTGACAATACAATAATTCTCAGATATTCAAGAATCAAAGATGCTGTCATCATGAAATTTTCTTTTGACAAGATGTGTGCTTCATATGATCAAGGGGTGATAATATGAATATCTTTTTATTTAGATCAATAGAAACTGTAAAAGTAACTCTTGATATTGATATAAATAGAGTAAACAATGTCAAACGGAGGATTGTGGCTAGTCTATTTAAATTTTTGATGCATTTCTGAGATCATCAGAATCAGAATGTAATTGCCATTACTGTTCACAAAGTACTAACTAGTTCAGTAGAAAAATAATATATAAAACTAAGTGAGTTTGATGGTGAGGAAATAAAAATGAAAAATATAACCTTTACAAATGCTAGATATAATGCTTTAGAAAACAGAGTACAAAACCATAAATGGAAGAAAAATAAGGCTTGAATTTAATGAAAAAGTAATAACATTTAAAAATATTAAAATCTTTCAAAATACTGAAAATAATATTTTTAATGAGAAATAGCATTAACAAAATTTAGTAGGTCCTATATCAGAAAACTATACAATTTACTAAAAGACACTAAAAACTTAAATAATTGAAGAGTCATGCCATGATCCTGGAAAATGCACTATATAAAAGGAAAAATGAAAGTGAAAGTCATGTCCAACTCTTTGCAACTCCATGGACTGTAGCCCACCAGGCTCCCCTGTCCATGAGAGTTTCCAGGCAAGAATATTGGAGTGGGTTGGCATTTCCTCTCCTCCAGGGGGTCTTCCTGACCTAAAGAGTGAACCTGGGTCTCCTGCATAGCAGGCAGATTCTTTACCAACTGAGTCACCAGGGAAGCCCATATAAAAGAAATCTACCTGTAAATCAGTACAATTCCAATAAGCAATCTGTTGTATTTTTGTTTCTTTCAAAAATATTCTGACCTGAGACTTCTTCTCCAAGACAGCAAAATGATTTTTAAAAAACTACAGTATTAGCATAGGTTTGCATATATATAGATCCCTCACATAAAATAGACAAGAAGATGCATAAACACACAAAATAGGTAGACATTTAGTTTACGGTAAGTGACAAAAATATTGATGAAAGAAATAATGTGGGATACAACTGTCTGTCACAGAAGAATTAAAGTCATATTGTATGCTTCAGCCTCAAATCACAGACCAAAATACATTTTAGATAGATTAAAATAAAACAATAAAAGTGTTAGATGATAACAGAAATCCTTATGTGTATAATATTATCATGGCAAAAGCATTTCAAATCAGGATCCACAAGCCAGACATCATAATACAAAACTTCAATAGATTTGATTACATAAAATTGTAAGATATATCTATGGATGAAAAGACCATAAAATGAAGGTATATAAAAATAAGCTGCTTAAAACGTTCATCTTTGTTATGGAGAGAGCCATTAAAACAGAAATTTTGAATGGAAAAGAGATTTCATAAATAAACAGTACAAAACTATTGCAGTAATATAGGAAATATACATATTTAGTCACATTTATGTTAACTTATAATTTAATAATACTAAATATTTAACACTTCAATATACTAGACAATTTTTTATTTAATTATAGTATGTGTGTGTGTGTGATCAGTATGTGTCTGACCTTTTGTGGCCCCATGAACTGTGCCCCGCCAGGCTCCTCTCTCCATCAGATTGTCCTGGCAAAGATACTGGAGCGGGTTGACATTTCCTTCTCCAGGGGATCTTCCCAACCCAGGGACTGAACCCACATATCTTACGTATTCTGCATTGGCGGGCAAATTGTTTACCACTGTACCTCCTGGAGTATCTGCTGTTAATACTATATGGGAATTCATGTGGCGTTGGTGAAGGATGAATTTACACAATTTTTATGCAAATGTAATTTGGCAATGTTTATCAAAATTCTTTTAAAGTGTTTACATTCTCTGATCCAGCAATACCACTTCTCAGAACTTACCTTCAGGAAAGAAGACAAGTACAGATGCACTAGCAAGAGTGATTTCTCAGCTCCCCAAAAGGTGCTCAGTTCTGAGAGATATTCAGCAAATAAAAGGGACCTAATTTATGACTATTTGTATTTGGGAACTTGAGCAGGAGGTGGAATTTGAAACTAATTCTGATATATCTAAGCTAGGAATAGGGTATTCAGAGGCATGGCAGATTTATTTTTTGCTCCTGTATAATAGAAAGCTAAATTAACAAACAGCTGTTGTAACAATTTTACTTTTTTTAATGTTCAGTGTTTGAAAATAGAGCTTTTCCTTTTCCCCTCAAGCAGTCTGATGATGCCTGTATTATTAGTTGGGCAACAATTTTCTTCCAGGTGGAGATTCAGTGACTTATGGCCTGACTTATTCTTGTTGTCTTTTATTTTCAACTTGTACCTCCTGCTATCACTCTGGCTGGTTACATGTGGGAGACTTTTATTCGCTGGGCCTTCTTTCACCTATCTAGAACACAAATCGTATAGTTAACATGCAACTGCCAATGAAGTTGGTAAATGTCTAGCTCTGTACACTGAAAAATGAAGGAAGCAAATTTGTTATCAGCTGGAAATCTCTGCCCATAATAGCCTTCTGATCACCAAATATTTTTTACCTTCTTTTTCTCACATAAACCATTGCCCTACCCTGTCCAAGAGATAACCTAGAGTCCCATCAAACTAGTGTACCCAATTCAATGATCAAGGTCCTCAATAATGCACAATTATCTTCATCGTCTCCGGATGCATTCGCTCAGGGATAAATGAACCAAAACACGTTTCAGTGCTCTTTTCCACCCCATGCACAAAATACAGTGATAGAAACAGTCAGGAGTGTGCTGAGCTTACTCATTCAGTTGTGTCCGACTGCAACCCATGGACTGTAGCCCACCAGGCTCCTCTGTCCATGGGGATTCTCCAGGCAAGAATACTGGAGTGGGTTGCCACGCCCTCCTGCAGGGGAACTTTCCAACCCAGGGATCAAACAGGGGTCTCCTGCATTGCAGGTGAATTCTTTACCAGCTGAGCTACCAGGAAAGCTCCAGGAAAAACCTCCTAAATATAAATGTTCTCTTTTGGAAATAAGGAACAATGAGAAACACCGAGTAGTCACTGATCCATAATAGTTGTGGAAATATTTCAGACTGGCATGAAAAGTTCCCTTTGCCTTGGCAACAGTTATAGTCCCTAAAGAAACTAGCTTCTCTTCTGATCATTCTTTTTGCCTTCTTCCAAGTCTATCTCACAGAAGTTCAGCCTTGTCAGTCATGCTCTGTGGCCACACTGGAAGTGGGTGTTTGGTCATATGCTCCCATGGGGACTACACAGGTCTTATAGGCCACTTCGTGTTTTCACCACTTTTGGGAGTCTAGAAGTTTTTGATGTTTTAATTATCAGACTTTTCTTTCTTTTTATTTCTTTTCTAACTAAATACGTGCTTCTTTGGCACAGTAGTTCCATTAAAAACAAAATAGACTCCTAATCTATTTCTCAGATTCTTGTACCTGTAACCATATTTCAAGACTTTTTGAAAATGGAATTGCCAGACTTAATTTATTTATTTCCTATCTCCCTCTGAAACTCTCTTGTAGATTGTAGACTGTACACAGCTCTCATGAAGCTATGCACACAATGGACCCTGGATGGTAGGCAGTATACTCAATCTGACTTTTGCAACAGAGCTGAGCCTTAGTATATTTTGTTGCTCAAAACTTCATTTAGTTTTATCTCTTATTATGCAACTTTTATAAATAGTTGATTTTCCAAACTTTTAAGCACTCACATCTGAGCTTCCTTTGATCTTTTTATTTTTGCTTGAAAACTGGCCATAGTCTACTAGGCTCAGCTCTTTCCTATAATATCCTAACAAAAGCAGAACATAAAAGTATATCAATAATCTAATCTTTCCAACCACTTCCCTTAAAGCTATGAGTGCAACAGACATTTAACCCTCAATGTTGAGTATTCATCTTCCTCCTTCAATCGATAATACAACACAGCTTATAACACCCCCCTCTCCTTAAAAAATGATCTTTCCTTTAATCAATTACTGTTTGCACATCAGGATCTCTTCCTATCCCACTTTTCTCTCCTTCTCAATCTACTCTGCTGGAAGCAACTTCTGTCAGACTTTAAATATGGGAACTTTTCAGGTCTCAATTTTCAGACTTTTTCTCCTCTCTATCTAGACTCTCTCCCTTAGAGAGCTCATCAGTTTCCTCAGCTTTAAATAACATTTGTATAATGTATTTGTATAAAATAATAATATTTGTATAATTTGTATAATATTTATATTTGTATAATTGTTATAATCTCTAATCCCAGCCTTTCCTATGCATAATTGGATTTTTAAATGATATAGTTGTGTTTGTCACATTTAAAAATACACATACTTTCAGGTGGAGAGGAGGAGAAAGAAAAGGCATATAACTATAGAAAATCATATATGTGTACTTGTTTACTCTCTCTCCCTTAAAATGTAAACTCAGTGTCAATGGTAATTTATGTGTCAAATTTTATATGCTCAATATCTGTTGACTAGATGATTGGTGTAATACAGGCTTAAAAAAACTTTTTTAACGTGCTACTTTCCAAAACAACTCATTCTAACGCAGATATGTACTCCATGTCTAAAATCACACTAACTAAAACAATATTTTTTCTCTTTTTTCAAGATCCCAATGCTCTGGCTGGCCAGACTGGCCCTGATCATGCTCTAATAGGAGGAATTGTGGCTGTAGTTGTATTTGTCACTCTATGTTCTATATTTTTGCTTGGACGATATCTGGCAAGACATAAAGGTAGGTTATATATAATAAGGCATTCTTAAATTTGGCAAAAAAAATTCTAAAGACCAGCTTCATCATGAAATCTTATTCTCTATGTGTATGCGCGTGCGTGTTTTGTGTGATAAGTGTTGAAACAGAGAGATCTGAATACTAAATTATTTCAGAGAATTCTTAATTATTTTACTCAACATTAAAGTTGGATTAGCTTAGCAAAATAATACTTGGCCAATAGCAAGAAGTCACAGAGTGAATCATTGGTTCAGGAAAAAAAAAAAAAAAAAAAATATATATATATATATATATATACACATATATATATACATGGGAGCTAGTTTGTAGTATATCTTTAGGACTGAAATTCAACTCTAATAGTAATCATTTGGTAATACTTCTGTTTGTAAGTTTATGGACACATATGTGGCTATATTAATGAGGAAAATATGTGATTTTTTTGCAATGGGTTAGGTAGAAAACTATTGGCATAATCTACTTTTAAATGGAGTTACCAAAATGTGTGTTGACACATTTGATGTGACCATTATCAACATCTGAACAAAGGGCCCTGATTGCTACAGCTGAGTGGATCACATGGTCTGTAGCCATCATTAAATAAATCAAAGTACTCATTACCCATGCCAGTTTGGCAGTTGCCTCTAGTTAACCTGGACACAGCTCCATCTGCAACATACGCCTGAAAACCGGAAGAAAGTGTACAGCTTTAGAAGAGTGAACTGTATGGTTTCTTACACTTCAGAATATGTTTCAACATGTAAGAAATCTGGTGTAAGTTTCTTCCTAAATGAATGTGACTTCAATACTGGCTATTTTACCACTCTGACAAAACTAACCTGGGTTTCTTCCAACACCCACAGGAACATATTTAACAAATGAAGCTAAAGGAGCGGAAGATGCCCCAGATGCTGACACAGCCATTATCAATGCTGAGGGCAGCCAAGTCAATGCTGAAGAAAAAAAAGAATATTTCATTTAAAATGCAGGCCAAGATTCTGAATTTTATGTACCAGGCTGGCTGCTGGAGAAAACTGGCTATCATCTTTCAGAATTCATTTCTACCATCTTCTGCTACCTTTATTAACTTCCATATTGTACTGCTATCTGTAGCCAGTGTATGCCAACAATCAGCTGTCGAAAGCATCATTCTTTAATTACTGTACCATCCATAATGCAGGACATTTATTACCGCCTAAATTCCACACCATGCTCTTTTAACATACAGTGCTTGAATATACAGCCTTAACAATGTTAATCATCTCCTTGGATCATGATATTGAATTGTTTTTGTACATTGAAAAAAAAAAAAGTATGCAGAGCTTCCCCCACCCCCTCATTTTTGGCTCCCTTTAAATCAAAGATCTTGTAAACCTACCACTGGACAGCTTTCACAAGGAACAGGATTAGGTAAAGACCTAACATGCTTAAGTTCAATTCAGATGTGAGAGGTTTATGATGTTTTTTACATGTCTATCTTCAAAGACATGTTTTGGAAGCATATGCCCTAAAAAACACAAACTGAAATAAACTACTGTAGAATAGATTCTGGAATATTTTAGATTATACTGATAAAGCTGTATCAATTTGCTATTTAAAAATATAGTATTTGATACAGGAGCCATGAATATGGATTACAGTCATGACATGCTGTCTTATATAATTATATAGATCCTACCATTTAGCTTCATCTACCAATAAATTGTTACAAATATTTTACCATTTTGGGAATCACAAAGACTTCATTCATTTCTCTAATTTGACTCTGTAATTTATTTGCTCCATAAAAACTCACCTGCCTAAACAAAATTGAAATATCCATAGGGCACAATTTTGAAACATTTTAGTATCTGTATATAGTGCATATAATAAATCCAATTAAACATTATTTGATACATATTTAACTTTTTTGGCTGTAGGTAATCAGTCATGAGTAAGCATTTTCTAATGTCCATTATATCCCTTTAGATATTACTTAAACCAATATTATAAGTAGATAACATGTATTAGTATTTTTGTCTGTATGTCCTAGCACTGTTCAACAACAAATTTTTCTAGTTCTTGTTAATTTTTGTTATACAATGGAAGCACAATGTTATAAGGAAAGGTAATTTTAAGCTAACAACCAGTGCACAGCCTCAGGTTTTAAATTACAACCACAGTTGAATAATAATCTAAAATAAACTCTTAGTTTGCTAAAAATTTACAAATTTTAATTTGGCAGTTCCAGAGCTGCTTACCTATGTTGGTTTGCCAAAAAGAAGTCTTTGAGATATGTTTTCTGTATAAATGAACTAATTCTTTATATTAAATTCCTGTCTATGCATTTTGTGAGGTATAAACATATGAAACAGTGAGTGATAGAGAATTTCTGCCATAATTTTAACTCCAAGGTGAAAGTCTCTTTCTCTGGATTATTTCTGAAATTTTGATGTATTTAACCATTAAGAAATGCTGTATTCTTAAATATGACAGAGAGTCAATCTGAAGTCATATTATTTCTCCTAGTAAAAGACAATAATGCTAGATTAGTTGTCATTAGATTTATTGATACTCTATGCTAAAGATTAAAAATCCAGTTAGATAAAAATTATTTTCCCATTGACAAGAATTGCACCTTTAGGAAGAAAAAGAATATGACAATATGGTAGCTATACTTGTGATGTCTGAAAGCATGATGGCCTATGGTTTTAAGAATAATATCTTGGAATTTATTTTTGGGAAATGAGAATGGTTGAGTATGACATCATGTATTAATATCAAATGAAAGACAAGGGTGCTGTATCTTAGATTATTTATCAGAAAAGTATAAATCTTTTAAGGACAACGTTAGACTTTTAATTTTTTTGATTGTTGAAGCATTTATCTTGTTGATTTCTTACAAAAGAAAAAGGACGATGTCAGTCAAGCAGCACTTTTTCAGACTATACAGAACATAAATAATATGATGTGGTTGAGTGTTAACATAATAAATCATATACAGTATGACAATTTTAAGGAAATAAGTCTGCATTGATGTGATTGCATGCTTGTTTTTACAGTTCACTCCATACCATCTGTGGAAAAAATGCAATAATATGTTAATATAGTATGGTAGTTTGAGAGAATCCGGTAGGTGCTACTAGACACATTGAAACTAGAATAGGTTTATAAACTGTTCATATCTTTCAATGCATAATCTTTAGAAAGACTCCACAAAGCAAAATTCATTGTTAGTACAAAATGGAAAGGTTCTTATTACAGAAGTAAGTTGTATAAACTGCATCATCAATTACTATTTAAAGCCTAATTTCAGGATGCATTTACAAAATTGCTACTCTCCATCGATGCTGTATTTACATCCCTCTTCATTTCATCTGTATTCTACTTGGCTCCAACTGCTAAACTGTTGCCTAAATAACTCAATCATTATTTATAGCACTATAAAATTAGAAATCCAAAATTGGTTACAATTCAAGACTTTTGACTCTTTTAACCCTTGACAGTAATATAAAAACTCATTGGAAGCCTGTAAAAGAAACTAACTGGTGTATTATGATTTGTGAGCTCTAATCAAATATTTTGACAGCTAAAATAGATATGAATTAGATATCATTTCAGTTACTGAAAGTAAATAGCAATGGAGTTATATTTTCCTATCTTAAAAAAATTTATTTGATTTCCACCAATGAAAGAAATTGTAAAAATTCTGTTCATTTCTATAAAAATCAGAAAAAATGAAATAAATATATAAATGAACCATTTCAATTGCCATGACTGAAATGTGCACATTTTATGCCCAGAGAGCCAAATTCGGTCATTGCTTAGTGAGCACCATAGCCACAGAACATAATGAAAGGAGTGCGCACAGACACACCCCCCCCAGTAGAATATGGAACATTATTCTTTACCCAAAGTAGCTATTCTCTGCCAGCGTACTGTTTACAGTGTAAATTGTCCTCCATCAAAAAAGTGTAAACAGCATTCTTTTTTTTTTTTGGTTTCCATATTTGAATGTCCTAGATAAAACGATTATCAAAATTAGGGAGAAAAGGAAAGCTTGTGAGTGAAAGTGCAAAGATAGAGAGCATGAACATAGTCGTGTGTGTGTGTGCGTGTGTGAGTGTGTATGAGAGAGAGAAAGAGATTTCAACTTGTTTTCTTTTACCAGAGAATCCAAGAAGCAGTTTAAGGAACCTGATATTGAAGTTTAATCTAGAAACTGGATGATCTCATGTTGATACAAGATGTTTAATCTTGCATTGAAACCCCACAATTAAAGAAACAAATAGAGAAAGAAAACTAACTTTCCTAAATATGGCAAAGAAGCTAACACCTCATTTATTTTTATTTCTTTGTAAAAATATAAATATCTCAATTAAAAGGACAGGCTCACTTGTAATTATGTACTCATGATTGTAATGGCATTGAGATTCCATATAGGCCCATGTACAGCAGCTGTTTGGTGGTGATGGTTCTTCCATGTAACATAGCAGTTATCGTGTAATTTAGTGCCACTTATTGCAAAGTGTTACCAAGGGGAACATCTAAAAGACTTTTTTGGATATAAGGATAATTGAATTATAAGTATGAAATTTCATGTTCCTTTCTTTAAATGTGGAGAAACTGCAGAACCTCATGTCTTACTGCAAATTCCCCATCACATGGCTAATGACTTAGCGCCCTCTAACAATGCCCGCTGCAATCCCCCTTTGCACATGGTGGTCTGTGATGAACATACAAAACAAAGCAAACAGAACACAACTGGCAACTACAGAAGAAGGAAATAAAACACCTAATGAGAATTAGGGAGTAATGCTTTTTATTAAGTGGCACAAAAGACACACAAAAACTATGCAAATATAGGTAACTACCGTGTACGTACATGTAAGTATCTTGTACTTGCTGTGTATGGATGTTGGAAACCCATGTAATTATAATATGCATTTTGAATATTGGGAAAGAGGAAATCTTAGTGTAGATAATAGAACTTGTTTTGAAATATACACTGGCAATATTGAAATACACTCAGTGCAATATCTGCAATTCTATTGCTGGATACTTCATGCAAAGGGATTTTAAAGAACTCTTCAACAAGATCTAAGAGGTTGCTAATCTTCACCTCCCACATATTAAACCATTAGTTAAAAATACAACTGACATTACAACACATTAAGCTTTTCTTGCTTTATCAATAACATTACACAATACAAATATCTGGCCTAGTTTTTAGTGTTACTGGAGAGAAAGACATAACCTGAGTTTTCAACTTCGATTCAGAGCTAATTGAATTTGGAGTTCTTATACTTTCTTTGAAGTGTATGTATGTTTTAATGGGTTGTGGGACTTTTATTACAAGTACAAATCTACTCAAAAAACATATATTACCTTTAATAGTTAGAGTCACTATAGTTTAATGGAAATTTCTTATGATAATTTTATTCTTCAATTCATTTTTCTCTTTCTCTCTCTATTTCAATCCAAACATGCCCTTTGCACTTCACTTATACCCTTCCAAAGGCAATGGATTGAAGGTAGCAAGATTATAAAGAGAGCTAAAGGGGACAACATGTAAAAATGGGTTCTAAACTCATCAGCATTTTTATGTATTGAGATTATTAATATTGAATGCAATATTATTGGATAGAGCTGGTAAGTTCTCTGCCATGCATACTTACAATAATCCTTCTACCTCTCACTTTTAACATGGGCTATGATACTTCGATATAAATAGAAGAAATAATTATTTACAAGATATCCCAGGAAGCACTCTTTTGGGACTATCCTAACAGTCCACTCCCCACCCCCTGGGACATCTCAAAAGCCAACTTTACTTTTAGTGTAACTCAGTGGTGTATGGATCTGCATTTGTTTTCCTTTTTCTGTCATTAACTTTTCCTATAGGCAAACTATAATAACTTTAAAAGGATAGTTCCTCTCATTCCTATTTACTATTTCAATGTGATATAATTGTGCTGATTAAAAAAATTAAATGGCAACACT